CTTTAAGGTAATCTCTCAATATTGCTTTCCACAGAGGTTGAACTAGTTTGCAGTCCCAGCCAGCAGTGTAGGAGTGGTCCTCTCCCTCCGCACACGCCAGCATTTAATTGTTTGGAGATTTTTGATAAAGCCATTCTCACTGGGGTTAGTAGTGATAGTCTCATTGTGGTTTGATTTGCATTTCCCTGATGAATTAGAGATGTTGACATTTCTTCATATGTTTGTTGGCCATGTCTTCTGTCTTCTTTAGAAAAATTCTGTTCAAGTCCTTTGCCCACTTTTTAATGGGGTTATTTGATTTTTTCTTCCTAATTTTTCATGAGTTCTAAGTAAATTCTAGTTATCAAGTCCCTTATCGGATGCATAGGATGCAAAATTTTCTCCCATTTGTAGGCTGTCTGTTTAACTTCATGACATTTCTTGGCTGTGCAGAAGCTTTGTAGTTTGATCATGTCCCCATTTATTTTATTTTTGTTGCTGATGTGATTGCCTTTGGGGACTCTTCATAAACTCATTTCCAGTGCCGATGTCCCTTAGGAGAGTGTTTCCAACTTTTTCTTCTAGAGTTCTAATAGTTTCATATCTTAGGTTTAAGTCTGTTACCCAGCGTGGAGTTGGTTTTTGTGAGAAGGTGAAAGGTGTGGAGTCCTGTTTCAGCCTTCTACGGTGGCTATCCAGTTTTTCCAGCACCATATTATTGGAAGGGATTCTTTTCCCCAGCGGTAATGTTTTTGTCTGCTTTGTCAAAAGATGAGATGGCTAATATGAGATGGTTTTATATCAGGATTCTCAAGCTCCTTTCTATATATTGATATCCACCGTTTATTTGGAAACATTTACAGTAAAACTCAAAAATGCCCTTTGTGACATACTACTAACAAAACCAAACCATGCCTTATTACTGTGTGATTTCAAGGATAATACCTTTGCAGAAGCTTACAAAACAATATAATTCGGTTAGGATACATTAGGATGCTCACTGGACTCTGTATCCTTTACAAATTAATTATGGTCGGACATTCAATTTACTGTGATAAAAACTAAGCTGATTAAATTATACTGATTTGAACTGGATCTGTATTTTAATATGCCAGACCACTTTAATTCTCTTTTCTAAAATATATTTTTATTAAAATAAATTATAAAAAATTATGTCCCAAAATCACACACACATATATACATACATATAAAATCTATATTAAGGAAAATTATTTTAAATTTGGGGGATAAAAATACATTTTTATACTTAAGAAGGTGTTATATAAAGCACCTCAGTAAATTTATAGCTGAAAATGGCTTATAATTAGGAAAAGGCAAATGCTTTCTTCTTATTTAAAACTCTTTTCTAGCACAAAGTCTTTTTGAAATGATACCATTTAAATAAATTTAAATAAAATGAGCAGCTATAAAGATCTCTAAGTATTTCTGTAAAAGCCTTAAACATATGTATATACATAGTTTGGCCACTTAAAATATCACAAGGATAAAACTTTGGCTGATAAGCTTCAATCTAATATTAGAAAAAAATGTGTGAAAGGCTTTCAAAAACAATTTTTTTCTTGAAAAAGAATTACTGAGGATTCTGGCTAGTACACTGTTCAGACTTATCTGTGCCTTTCAGTCTCTTCAAGGAGTTTAAACAATGTGTATATTGAGGAAAATATAAGTAATGCAAATGAGTCTTGTTTATAGACATATAAATAAATGTTGTCCAGTTAAGTTATAATTGATTATTTCCCAGTGGACATTGATTGGTTGTGAATCTATTCAGAAATTTATTTTGGCATTCCTGATTGTCGATATATATATAGATAAATATACAGATTTATATTTGTATGGTCTTTGAATTCTCATTTAAACTGGCTGTAGTATCTCACTGGTTTCTTCATTAATGAGTTAAATAAAATCTTTGAGATGTGCTCATTGTATATTTGAGCTGGTTTTACGTTATTAAAAATATCTTTCAACAACTAATGAAATTCAAAATTACCAAATGTAGGTTAAAATATTTTGAGTCAATATTAATTTTCAGAGCTCCCATTTCATTAAGTTTAGTTTAAAATAAAAAAAAATCTTCATTGTGGAACAATTTAAAAATTTTTGCATTTGTTTGAGAAAGCTTTGTCCAAAGTGTGTCCTAATGATTATTTTCTGAGATATTTATTGAAAAGAAGGTTTTGTTGTAAAATACATATTTTACCATGCAACTAACTGTCCACTGAGGGTTAGAGGCCCTTTCTAATCAAGTTCATGTTTCCAAAGAAATTATACCTTCAACTGTCCTCCTTCATAAACCTTTTGCCATAGGTACAGCACTATTTACCATCTCCTTCTTCTCCCCCAAACTTTACCAATTCTGAACTTACCAACTTTTCTTCTCCCTGTCCAAAATGGTCTCCCCTCATATCTCTGCTTTTCCAATTTTTTATCAGCAATTGTACTTTTCCTACTTCTATTTGTAATAATTCAAATGTATGATTATTTTTGCCATAGCACTGAGAGTTCTTAGATGATTAAGAATATCTTTTTTCATCTTTGTATAACAGGGAAGGGAGAATTGGAGTGAACACTTTGATGTTTAGTTAAGCCTTCTCTTTGAAGGTTTTGATAAGGTGCAGGAAAGGCTATCCCAAATATAGCACCTTGACATACTGAGTATTTAAAGCTGGAGGAAATTGAGAAACTTACGGAAGCAGAAAGATTGCTCTGAACTTCTCCTGCCCCCTCTCTTTAAAAGACACTAATGTGACGGTGTCCTGCCTTATATCCAGAGGGAAGGAATTTTACACAGAAAGGCCAAGATGAATCTGAACAAACAGGCCTTGCTAAGTTCCCACCAGTTTATTACTGTTAGGTTATACTCCCTTTGTATCCAATCATGCTTCTACACAACTGTCCTTTCCTCCTCAAACCTAAGCATAAAATATACAGTTTTCCCTGGGTCTTCATTTCTAAAGTCCCTCCTGTCATGTAAAATTTTGATTAAACACATTTGTTATGCTTTTTTCTTCTTAATCCATCTTTTGCTATAGGGGTATCAGCCTTGCAATGTCTGAGAAAAGAAATATTCTCTTCCCTCCAGTTTTCTAGATTACTCTCACTTGTTTATCCACCAGAAATTTTAATTCTCTCTTGATATGGCTTACATTATTGTTTGTAGTATTATTTAATTCTGGTTGTCTTATGGTCTGATACCTTATTTCCCACCTAGATTTTCAGTTTCTTGGGCCAAATGATCTTTATGTCTCCACATCACCTGTGATAGGAATCTTCAAGAGCTAGAAGTGAATTACTACTTGAATGATTTGAAATGAAGGTAAATACTTTTTAGTAGAAATATCAACGATCACAGAGGGACTGAAAAGTATGTGGAGGACAAATTTATTGCCATGAAATAAGCACTTATGTTCTTCTAATGACTAGTGAAGCTATTTTAATAGCTTGGTTAATTATATTTGTGCTATATATTTAATAACTCTGATTACTTATCTTCATTGTACAAACATTTAAAGAAAAATAGGCATTGTTTCTCATTCCAATGGCTTAAGCATTAAGTAAAAATACATTAAAAACACTCACTCTTCTTAGTGGCTATTATATGACTTAAATGGGCTTATATCACCATTTCTAATTGGGATTTTTACCTATTTTTCTCAATAAATATTTGTTGAATAAATTTGTTAACTAAGTACAATACTGGGCATTGAAATGGAAAAATGTACCAAATTATGTTATGGAGGCTTCACAAGCTAAGCATGATATTATAGGCTCTCTTGTGACAACTGCAAGAATTGAGATTTAAATAAAGTGCTATGGAATCACCACAAAATTAAAGGGATTAATTCAGGCTGGAAGAGCAGTGGGGATAGACTAAAAGTGAAAATACCATTTGAATTGTTTATTAAAGGATGGATAATAAAAGGAGAAATTTTGCCAGTGGTTATGTAGTTCATGTACTACATGAAGGTGGCAAACAGGTATGAAACAGCCACACAGCCAAGCATCAGCCACTTGTGATGCGTCTCTCTGAAGGAAAAAATCTTTTCCTTTACATAGAGGCCCTACCTTATCACCAATTAGAATGCCCCAAAGCATGCTCAGTTGCACAATAACTTAGAGGCTTGTGTTGTATAATAATATGCAGACAACAGTAACACTGTGGGTTTGTACTTTCCTTTAAGAGTGCACACTTGAGGGAAAAGGGGGATAGTTTCAGTAAAACCACAGGGGTAAGAAAGTACAAAGTGGAGAATAATTTAGTCTGTCTAGAGCAGAGAATGCTATTAGGGAAGGAAGGATGAGGTTATAGCAGAAAACTTAGTGTGAGATGAGTCTAGATTAGATATAATAGAGCATGCTGTCTGAAATACCATTCAGGGGAGATGAAATAGATTTTATTTTGTGAGAAATTACAAGCTATCTACATATTTAAATAGGAAATTACATGCTAGAACTTCATTGTAAAGACAGTTGAGGTTTGTAGGCTAGAGAATGGACATGGGCTGAAGAAAATATGGAGAAAGGAGATGGAAATCTCGACTGGAAAAATAATGTGAATTCTTAGAGAGACTGTGAGAGTGAGAGTCTGAATTAGAATAAGAGAGGTGGAATTGAAAACGAAGGATCCTTTTGAGACTCCTTTTGGAAGTAAAATGGGTAGGAAAACATTAGATGCTGGTAATGAGGCAGACTGAGTTGTAAAGGACTTTGAGGTTTCTAGCACTGAAGGTGCTGCCACTTACAAGAACAATTAGTAAAAAGGAAGCAGACTTTGTTGGATAAGGGTGGGAGGTAGGGAAAGACAAGAGTTATTTTTTGGTTTAATCTTTGGTAATATGTTAGTACATAATTTGTCCTTTTGCTTGTTTACATTTTTAAAGTAGAATGTTAGAGTGTATTGTATTATAAACAAAATATTATTTATTAGCTCTCAACATTTAGCCTGCAATATCCACATGAAATTGACTTAAAAGTTTCTATTATATCTAAACTGTACCTACCTACATTGCTTCATTTGTTTAAGTAAATTCTTCCGATATTTTTCTTCTCTTCGTTTTCGCTGAACAATCTGCCTTTTGTCTCTTTGGAGAGCCTCATTCTTCCTCCGTCTGTCGATATCAAGCATTCCTTTCATCAAAAGAGTGCGCTGGTTACTTAAGTTTTGAACTAATAAACGTTCCGTAGCCTTTTGTTTTTTTTCTTTTAGAAACAAAGCTCTTCTCTCTCTAACTTTTTCAAGGTATTTGACTCTGTCCTGCCTACGTTGTTGTAAACCATGCTCATTTGCCTCATAATCTTTTTCAATTAGTTTCTGTAGAGCATAATGTTTATTATTCAAATTTTCTTGAACAGCTAGGCTAGCTCTTCGTTGGGCAACCTGTGCCAAAGCTATAGCTGTTACTTTTTCTTTATGACATTGCTGATTATTTTGTTCTGTGTAATATTTATCAATATCACTAAGTGTTTGGAGTTTTATGCCAGCTCTGTATGTTGTATAAAACTCTTTTCTTATACTTGTATCTAACAGGGAGTCTTTTTTAATTATTGGTTGTAGATGAGTGGGAGAAAATGACTGAGCATATGCAGGAAAATAATCTTGTTTTTTCTCTTTCAGTACTGCAGCATACTTCAGTGGACTTGAAGTATATATGGGTAGTTTGAACACTGATATCCTAAAACTGGCATCCAATTCTTCATCTTCAATTTCATCTTCAGACTCCTTCTGACCTACATCACATAGCAGACAAATATTATACATTATATAAGATTGAAGCACATTTTATTTCCTGTCTAAATTATTTTGAAAACTATATTAATAGTTGATAAGAATCAGTTATTTACTTTACTAAGAAGCTTTTTTCCCAAGTTTCTTTTCAACTTGTGATTTAACAGTGATTTTAGAGAAGAAAATCACTATTAAAACATTTTAACACAGAAATGCACTGAATCTAATTTCTGTGGTTTCTGTATAATCTCTCACTGTATAACTTGTGCTGATGCAATAGCAGCATCTTATGTTTAGTACTTAATCACACATATTATTTTTTTCATATAGTTTGCTAAAAAACTTTAGACAAATTAAATTTAACAGAGTTTAATTTAACAAAGAAGGAAAGAACAATTCATAAACTGGGTAGATCTCCACTGAGAACCAGTGGAGATTCAGACAACTCTGCTCCAAAATGGGGACAGAGAGTATTTATAGACAGAAAACAGAAACAGCTAGATTGGGTACAGTTCAACATTTGCTTTATTTGGATGTGGTATGATCAATTGGCAACCTGTGACTGGCTGAAGCTTGGTTGCTGTGATTGGCTGTCATTCCTCTATTTGTTACAAAAATATACTCCTAAATTAGGCTTTCAGTTGTTTATATACTAAGTTAGGGTGCAGTTCATTGCATAAGGACTCAAGGTACAGAGGTAGCCTTAGGTCCAATTTAATTTAATTTAGCAAGTTAATATCTTCTCATATTTGCCAAGAATATTGTAATCAGTTTTACCTTATTTTTCTTTACCCTGGTGGAAATTAATAGCTGCCATAAAAAATGGGTTTTCCCTTCTTTGGACAGACAAGAACTAAAACTCTCAGCTCCCTTTGCTATTATGTGTGACCATGAGCCGAGTCCTTTCTAGTGAATTGTGAGCAAAATGCCATGTGTCATTTCTTGTCCAAGGCCTTTTAGAAACAATGTGCACCCTCTGTTTTCTTTTTTCTTCTGACCACTACAAAGAGATGAGGATGAAGTCCTTGAAGATGATAGAACCATAAGATAGAAGGAGCCTGGCTCCCTGAATCCATGGTTGAAAAACTACTCTCAGACCCAGGATTATCCAACTCAGACTCCTTGAGAGACAGAAATAAATGACAGTTATGTTTGAGTCAATGTATATTTCTGGATCTATTTCCTACCATAGCCACCTCAACTAATACAATAACTTGAATCATGTTGTTGTTCACGTATTTATTTTTTGACAAACCTACTAATGAATTTGGGATCAGGTGGCAAACACTGATATAAAATTTATGCTTGTTAATCTTAGGAAAAAATGATTCCTGATTCCCTCTACTATTAAAATCATCAATACATTCCCACTAACTCTAGTCTACATGGATTTTATCTTCTGTAATAGAAGATTCCCTTAAGGTTTGGGGTATCAAAATACCAAACTTGATGTCATGGAAGTTAAGATGAGCATGAAGCAGAGGAAAGCCTGTGGCCTAGATGAGTAATAGGAAAGAAGTGAATAGGTAGGATTTTCATCAAAGGCCACAGGAGTATAAGCAAAGTAAGAAAAGTAAGCAAAGTCTATAGCTAAATGAGAAATCAAGTCTAACAAGTACAGGATACACAGCTAAGAGTCCAGACATAAATATTAAAAGTTTGAGTCCAAAGCAAGGTACCAGAAACCCAGAGGGACAAAAGCCAGAGTCCCTCATTGGTTAGTTGAACATTATCCCATTAGCACTTTAAAAAGTCTCCTAATTTCCTTTTCTGCTTCCAGAATCTCTGTTTCAAGACATCACTCACTGCTATGACATTCATCTTCCTAAAATAAGATTCTAATCATGTTATGTCTTACACTCAAAGGAAAATAAAACCTTCATGGTTTCCCACCTACAAGATGAAGAAAAATTTCAATTTTTAGCCTAACATATATTATATGAGAAGAGCTTCATTTTCTTTCCCTTATACAAACCGTATCTTACCACCTTTGGGATTTTGCTTATGTTTTTGTTTTATGTTTTGCCTAGTATGCTTTATTCTTCAAGGCCTTTCACATTATTTTCGTTATTCTTTAAACAAGAATTGGTATCATTTTTTAAACATTCATACCAATTTCTTCCTTATGGAATTTATTACACTCCATTTATATTAAATCTCTGTGTAATAGTTCTTAGCTATAACATCAATCTAGAGATAAGCTTCTTAGGAGTAGGGATCTATTTCTTTGGTCTTTGATCCTACATTCCTAGTCCCTAAGCTAGTATTTTGCACAGAGTTGTATTTTGAGTAGGGATGAAGTAATTAAATAGTACATGTCCAACAAGTATATGTGTTGGATGAATGAATAATGAAAGAGTAAGAGATATATTTTATTTATCATTAATTTTTATTATATTTGACATGGAAAATAAGGGCTTATATATTATCTCCTTAATTCCATAAATAGCGTAAAGTTTAAGTAGCCACATAATTTAGTAATGAGTGGGGAAATTTATAGCAAAGCCCTTTAGTCAGAGCCCTCAACATCTATGAGAAATTAAAACACAGAACATGCAGGAGAGTCTTTTTGGTATGCATATTTTGTTTTAAGACTTTGTAATACATCTCCTTCTTTATTGTCAAAATAGAAGCCAACTGATGGAAGTGCTATCATTTCTCCATAACCACATTTATAAACCTGGCTATATGTTCATGTACCTTCTTCTAACCTGATAGAATGAAGAAAGTATTTTTTCTTTTAGCAGAGGTCAAATTCTTCACCTCTGGTGAAGCGTTGTCCCCACCCCTTTTACCTTTATTACTGCAATTACTTTGGCTTCCTCTTTTTTCACCCTCTCTCTATTGGATCATTTCCATCAATGTTTAAAGGGCCATAACCACCAATCCTACCACCATCAGAAGCACTACCACTACCACATGCCTTGGGCTCTCATTGGCCTCTGGCTATGTTCCTTTTTTTTTTTTTTAGTACAACTTTGGAGCAAAAATTATTGAGAGAGTTGTCTCCTTGGACTTCCTCCTTTTCTCCACCTCCTATTAACATTTCAACTCAGATATGGATTTTACCCCTACTGTTCCCACCAAACTGTTGAAACTCTTCTCATCAAAGGCTTTTATAGTAATAAATATTATACAAGGGACACTTTTTATGATATAATCTTTCTTAAATTCTCAATAGAATTTTCCACAGTTGGTTGATCATTTCTCCTTCTTGAAATTTTTTTTAGATTCTGTGATACCAACATCTCCTATGTTTTCTTCTACGTTTCTGATTGCTTCTCCTTAGTTTTCTTCACACTTTTTTATCTTCCCTAAAAATCACTCCATGTTTGTTTGAGTTTGTAAGAACTTTATACTAAGCCCCTTTCTCATTTCTCTGAAGTGGATTTTGCTCATGGCTTTAAATAACAATCTCTATGCTGATAACTCTCCAATTCATCATTTTTACTTGCAAATCTTAGATATTTTTCAAGTATGGTACATTCAAAAGAACTCTCTTGTTTGGTGCCAGATATCTATTCTCTCTAAAATCAGTCCTCCCTATTTCAGTAAATAATACATAGCAGCTTAGTTTTTCCACATAAATTTTATCAACAAATCTTTTAGATTTTACCTGTAACATGTAAGTCAGATTAATTGATCTTTCTTGTCTCTTAGCCACCACTTTACTTCAGGCCTCTACCAGCCCTTACTTTGACTATTGCATTGGCTTCTTAAATAATATCTACATTTCTTAACACACAAATGCTTCATTTCTCACTAAGCCACAGTGATCTCTTAAAATTGTGTTCTTAAGAGTCTTACAGATGCCTTTATGATAGAATTCAAAATCATTGCCATGGCCTACAAAGACTTTCATGTTTTTATGTTTGTTTACTACCAGATATAATCTTACAACTACTTGTCACCACATTCACTATGCTGTAGCCAAGACATGAATGAATTGTGTGGTAATTCCCAGGCAAAATTATTGGGTGCCAGGACTACAAATGATGAAAATACAGTCAACTCCTTTGACTAGTTTTACAACTGAAAACTTCAATTTGACTTAGTTGAATAAGTATGTGGGTACCTACTTTGAATCAGGGTCTTCAAAAATAAAAAAACATCTCTGGCGCTTAAGAATCTTACAGTCTAGAGGAGGAGGCAAATGAGTAAAGGTGATAACTTCAAAGTATTATGGCAAATGTTAAGATATATGTGTACACAAGGAACCCTAGAACCATTAAAGAAGACATTTTACTCCATCTGGGTTAGGGTCGGTGGTTTTTTGGCAAAAATGTTCTGGAGAAGGTTGAAGAAGACACTCTTAGATCAAACTGAGTCAGGCTCCTCCAAGTCTTCTTTCTGATTAGTCCCTGAACTTGGACTCTGTCTTTGGTTTATTTGGCCCAGTTTTAGCAAGAATACTGCTGGGTAAGTTTAGCAAAATTTCACATCTTTGACATTTGATCAAATTTATCACCCCCAACTTCCCTATCTTATCATCTGGCCTGCCTTGAGCAAGAATTCTATTGAGTCAGTCTAGCAAGAATGCCCTAGCCTTCATGATTTCAATCAGTAATTTCCCATCAACTCATCTCCACCCTGCTCCTTGGCTATAAGTCTTGTCCTTGTTATATTCAGATGAGAGCCCGGTCTTTCTCCCCTATTGCAAAACACCATTGGAAAAGCCTCCCTTGAATAAAGTCTTCCTTACTATCTTTAACAAGTGTTGTGAAATTTTTTTCTTTAATAAGGTAACAGCTAACTTTATTCTTAAGATTGTTCTGTTTTGTTTTATATGTGCATTACTATAAGGTTCATTTTGAGGTCTTTGGAAAAATTTAATGAATTTGCAAAAGGTGTGGTTGAGAGAATAGAAAACAAGTCATTCCAGGAAAAAGGAAATTTCATAATCAAAGATGTACATGAAACAAAAGGAACAATACGTGAAATTTGGTTTTGTAAAATACAAAGTTAGCAGCTTTTATCTACAATTAGTTACTAGCAATTAGTT